TATTGTCTTTTTTTATCTTTTCATCACAGATTAGAACATGTACATGTACACTATGTTGCTGTCATATATTCAAGAATTTTAATGTAGATGAACTCTGTGACAAATTCGTGATGAGATTGGAGACAAGGAGAAAGATTTTCGGACACTACTATGACTTATAAGATAGTTCACTAGTTGTTATGTTGTTTCCGTTCACCCTTTTTAAAATTCACGTCATTGTATCTTTATTTGTGTTTTTTTCCACTCATTTTATTTCCTGATATTTCCTAAAACATTTTTCATTTTTGGAGAAAGATTATTATGTCATAACTTATTTTTGTTTTATTGAAAAGCTGATGTAGGCCTATGTCACTGGCGTACTAGTGGGGGGGGGGCTTGGGGGGCACTAGCCCCCCACCCCCACATGAAATTCAACCATGACTTATTTTCAATTTCATACAAGTGATTTTTACATGTTTGTGATATCACATGATTTTCAACAAAATTTGCGTTTCTCCATTTCTGTTGCAAACTGACACATTCCCAAATAGCCAGGAAGAGCATATTTTGTATAGTTACTAATGGGCCTAATTAGTGGCCGTTAACACTAACAGAAGTATACAATTCCTTTCCAGAAGCTATTGCGACAAGCACTGCCAGGAGATAACATGCTATCCACCACTCGGGCTGTGCATGCAAAGATTTGCGAATGAACGTTCCATACTTACAGGTGTACATCATGTGGGGAAACTGAATTCAGACAAGGATTAATATAGAAAACAATACAACGAATCGTCTTCTTTCTCTAATAATTTAGTGAAATAGCAAAGTTTTTGCGCGGGGGCAACTGAATTCAGACTAGGATTAAGAGTTATAATTAAATGAAACGTCAAAGTACACCGAATCGTCTTTTTTTTCTAATAATTTGATGAAACGTGAAAGCTTCTGCGCGGGCAAAAATGAATTCAGAGAAGGATTAAGAGTAATAATTATTTGAAACGTCAAAGCTTCCCCGCTTCACGCGGGAGGGGGGGGAACGGAATTCAGACAAGGATTAAGAGTCGAGAACGGTACAATGAATCGTCTTCTTACTCTAATGTTTAAATGAAACGTCACATAGCTTCTGCGCTTTGCGCGGGAGGGGCGAAACAAGAATTCAGAGTCGAGAACGGTACAACGGATCGTCTTCTTTCTCTAATAATTTAATGAAACATCAAAGCTTCGGGGGGGGGGGGGGGGGACTGAATTCAGACAAGAATTAAGAGTCGAGAATGGTACATCAAATCGTCTTCTTTCTTTAATAATCTAATGAAACGTCAGTAGGGGAACTTGATTCAAACAAGGATTAAGAGTCGAGAACGTTCCAACAAATCTTTTTTTTCTCTATTAATTTAATGAAACGTCAGAGCTTCTGCGCTTCGCGGGGGAGGGGGGAAACTCCCTCTCCCTGCACCCAACCCCCTAGGGAGCACGCTCTGTAAGTGATACGCGTGCTCAATACCGCCCCCCCCCCCCTAAAATGAAACCCTGGCTACGCGCTTGAGGGATAATTAGTTCAAGTCGCAAGGAATATGTTGATGTTCTTTTTTTTTCGCTAGCCCCAAGGGATCACGTAGGATTTAAGTTAGAAAATACCCTTCCCCCACTTTTTGCATATAGCCTAATGCATTAGAATGCAGCTGTTGAGCAAAAAATGATAATGCCAAATAAAAAAAAAAAAATGTTTAGCGTCCTGTTTTTTCGAAAAATAGGAAGAAGGAGGCCCTTTTTTTTTTTTTTTTTTTCTTTAAAAATGGCCACTCAAAATGGCCGCTCGGTACATTTTCCCTGACAGTCGGGCTATTTTACAAGATGGCCGCCGACATTTTTTTTTTTTTTTTTTATAAATCAGAAATAGACCCATTTTAGCAGTGTTTTTCATTTTTTTTCTTTAAAAAAAAAAAATCAAAAAAAAATTCAAAAAAAAAAAAAAAAAATAGGAGGCGGCCCCCAAAAAGGAAGCAGGCGGGGACGCTAGACATGTATATTTTTTTACATATTTTTTTACACTTTTTTGTCCATTCTAACCAAAATGCTATGAATATTGCAGAGTTTTTGAGGGGCTGTATCTTTTGATAGAAACATCGGTGAGTCTTGAAATTTGAATTCTACAAAAATGGTCAAAAACGATCCCAAATTGAAAATTGAAAAATCGTTCAGACACCCTACCTCTTGGCACACATAGGAGCATCACTATCCTGGCTGTGTACTAGTAAAAGCTGTGCTTTTGATTCTCAACATTTCAAACACCACTGTACAAAACTCAACTGATTTCACTCAAAATCGGTACTTTAGTGACAATTGATGACACCTAAATAGCAGTAAAATACATTTTTTTTAAACTAATACTGATGTTAAAAAGAATAATTTAAAAATTCAAATTGTAAGTCTAGTGTCAATCTTTGCTTACAGCTGCATCGACATGACTGTGTACAGTCTATGCAATAGACTACGCTCGAAATCGCTGAATATGCACGAGGTTTAGGGACACTGATTTTCCGCGATCACGGAAAACGGACAGAATTCACGGAATTGACCATTTGAAACGGAAAATGCAATTTCGAACGGAAAATCGCGGAAAACCCCTTTTACCCCAAAACTTTTCATTTTTTAAGAAGAAAATCGTAAAACTTACACTATATTTGTGACTCATTATGCAGTTAAAAAATATTGGGCCTCAAATCATGGTTAATAATTCCGAATATTTAGCGATATTCGTCAGATTCTTAGGAGACGGGGAGCTGCCATTTTGTTTCGCTGGACCGAAAGGGATCATTTCGTAAAACTCGGTACAAATAGCAGCGAAACGATCCGATTATGCCAGCTAGGCGCCTAGTATTACGTAGACGTAATACTAGGCACACACACGCCAGTAGCGGGCGCTACGTGCGGCGAGATTGTACACACGCAGTTGTACAGTTCGAAAAAGGGGCTGGCATGTGCGCCTAAAATCGATCGATCGCGGACTTGACAGCCAAGACTGAAAATGTTTTCGTTGACGTCGGTACTACTCAGCATTTTCGTCAAGAATATGTCGTGTTCTGATACGTTCAGCTGACTTTAGTCTGCTAGTCTAAGTTCGAATTTGAAGTTGGTAAATCTAACCATTTGATAATTTTTCGTAGGTCTAGCCTAGACTCTAGGGCCCGTAGGGGTCTATATTTTCACTAGTATTTTGCATCAAGTTTATCCAGTCCCGTCCGTATGTTTTTGAGTGGTTATCAGTGGCTTGTCAAACTCAAAGGTGGCGGCTTTAATAGAACTTTTGTACCCTACAAGTTCATGTTTTAATGAAAATTTTATGTAAACGGAATTTTAGTTTTTTCATGTGTACAAAGTCTATGGCAAAACGGAATTTCTGTTTTTCAGCCCATCTCAAACGGAATCCAAGATTTTCTGAAGCAGAAAAGGCCATTTTTTTAAACGGAAAATCAGTGTCCCTAGAGGTTGATCGTTGAGAAGGCTCTGTTTGTTCGAGTCGTGCATATTCAGCGATTTCAAGCGATCAGCGCTCGATAGCATGAATATTCATATTTTCTTCGCCACTGCCGCGCATCGCTATTTTGAATCAACGCTGCGACATGGAAGAATCGTTGGTGTAGTACCCCGAATTAACCCTTTTTTCCCTAGCCTTAAGGGCTCTCTCGAAATGTTTTTTTAATGATATTATTCGAGAGAGCCTTAAACGGCTCCCATACCCCTGCACGGAGAGGCATGTAAACAAAACTCAAAAGTGGTCCAAAATCACACTTTCGCGCACCCGACCAATATTGGACAGTGGCTTTGATAAATTTTGTCCGAGTTTTGGTCTTAATTAGCGCTTTAATTTCAAAATCGGATCTAAAAATAACAAAATAAGAGCAATTTTCTTACCAGACCGATACAGCTCAGCTCCCTTTTCACGTGTACCGTGTGAATTCACGATGTCTACACAATGGTGATGACCTCTGACTGGCACTTCCGTAATTGTGGGTAAATTGTGCTGCTTCCGTATAATGCGCTGTATGAGTGTTATTCAGCGCATTATACGGAAGCAGCACATTTACGAAGTGCTAGTCAGAGGTCATCACCATTGTGTAGACATCGTGAATTCACACGGTACACGTGAAAAGGGAGCTGAGCTGTATCGGTCTGGTAAGAAAATTGCTCTTATTTTGTTATTTTTAGATCCGATTTTGAAATTAAAGCGCTAATTAAGACCAAAACTCGGACAAAATTTATCAAAGCCACTGTCCAATATTGGTCGGGTGCGCGAAAGTGTGATTTTGGACCACTTTTGAGTTTTGTTTACATGCCTCTCCGTGCAGGGGTATGGGAGCCGTTTAAGGCTCTCTCGAATAATATCATTAAAAAAACATTTCGAGAGAGCCCTTAAGGCTATTTTTCCCATCGATGACTTCTTCAAATTATACATTCAAGTGATTGGAGTTGAGCCCTGAGGAGTCGTGCACCCTATGATGTAAAAATTGTAAGTACTCCCTTTGCAGATTTAACGATAATATCACCCAATCGGCTGTTTTACTAGCCCCCACGAGAAACCAACAAAACCACCCGAAGCTCCGACGCCTGCGGCGCCGGTGTTGGAGCTTCCCGGAGTTAGACGACTAGATCTAGACCTAACGTTAGATCTAGAAAATCTACATGTATGCTTTGCTGGAGTGCCTCTTGGTTGCTTTGATCCGTTGCCTAAAATATTTTGGCACCTATCATCCACGGCTACAAATCTACACCCTTGGACCCATGCATTGTAGACTCTATTTGTAAATTGTAGGAGTGACGATTTGAAAATATTGATTTAAATTTAGCAGACGAGAACATTAACACGCGGGACTACACAATACACATCAACACACGATCAGACAACACCTTACGGTTTTTACAAATTTAACGAGCAACATATCAAAAATAAATGCATTAATTTTAAACAAACAATCAACACGAGCCATAGATTTAGAAAAAATCTACGGATATTCAGGACTTACAATGATCAAATGAGGTAGCAATCAGACAATTCTTGTCCATCAGTGTCAGTGACAGTTTTGAGACGTCATTTTTAAGTTATTTATAGTATACTGCCATCTTTCGGTTGAGACATTACAGTTTTTGGTAGATACGCATTGTTATACTGCATATTCAGTGTAATTATTTTCAGTTTTTATTAAAAAGCAGTGTAAATTGTACTTTATACTTACATAATGCCTACATAATCTATACCAATAATCATATATTCCTCACATTTTGTTGCTGAAAAATTCAAAAACTAAAAAGACAGAGAACAAAAACAACTCATCATCATATCCATTATCTTTAATTCATCTTCATCATCGTCTCCAATATCTCGGCATCATCATCATCACTATGATAATCACAAAAAATAAGCGATAGATCAATGGTGAGGACTGAGGACATTACAATACTCCCTTCCTTGGAACAAAAAAGAATAATAAAAACGTGTCCTCGTTTTATTTCATAATATGCCTGACATCAGTGACGTAACGAGGCCAGTCTAGATTATAGAGGGGGAGCTGGGGGTGGAGGGAGAATGGAAGGAGGGAGGGAGGAGAGGGAGGGAGGGGAGCAAGAGAGAAATGGAGGAGGAAGGAAGGAAGGAGGGAGGAGAAGAGAGGGAAGAGGAAGAGTGGAAGTGAAGGGAGGGAGCATCCGCTTTTAATATGTGGATGGAATGTAATTTGAAAAGAATATAGATATAGGCGGAGTTCCTCCCTCTCTCACTTCCTTTATCTCACTATCTCTAGCTCTCCCCCTCTCTTTCTCGATTCTTTTTAAATTAACGTCTTTCTTTCATTCTCTTTTTTTTCCCCTTCTTTTTCTGAGCCACTCGATTGGGTGGGGGGGGGGGGGGGAGAGAACCTGCCTAAGCAGCAATGTCACCGCGTTAACTTAACATAATATTAGGCCTATACCATAAACAGGGGGGGGGGGTGGGCGGGCTAATTTCTAACCGTCTCTATTTTATAGCTTCTTATTGTTCACATGTATTTATTTTTTACATCAAATAAACCAGATAAGACAGGCAAATTTTATCATAATAGATACTAAATCTGGATTAATAGTAATCCGAAATGCAGTCTTCTATAGCGCTTACGCGGTTATCGGATTAATTCAAACAGAGAGTGTGCACCTTGTTACCCATTGGTGATTTTACATTTTCAGGGGAGAGGATTGGAGCTACAACCCCCCCCCCCTCCCCCCCCCCCCCCCCCCGTGGCGTACGCAGGATTTTTTCAAGGGGGGGGGGGGTTAAAATCGGGCCAATCAAATCGGGCCAACGACTCAGCCAGAATAGGTGGGGGGGGGGGGGGGGTAAAGAGGACACTTTTTTTGTGGAGTCCCCCAAAAATCGCAACGACTCAGAGCCAGCCTCTGAATAAGTGGGGGGGGGGGGGGGTGTAAGAGGACACGTTTTTTGTTTTTTTGGAGTCCCCAAAAATCGCAACGACTCAGCCAGCCTCTGAATAAGCAGGGGGGGGGGTAATAGGACACTTTTTTTTTTTTTTTTGGTCTCGAAATTTGAAAAATTGTATTATTTTTTTAATTTTTTTAATTTTTTTATAAAAAATAAACAAAATAACAAAATAATAACCAAAGGGGAGGGAGGGTTTTCCTCAAAATTACACACATAAAAAAATATCAAAGAGAAAGGTTTAACCCCCCCCCCCCAAGATTCGAATAATACCAAACCCACCCTCTTCACCAAAACTCCAAAATCAAATACATGTTAGTTGTGGTATACGAGCAATTTCAACTACTGCGATCGCAAGTGCGTAACTTCTTATCCAGCCGCGCTCCAGCTTTTTCAGCAGAAGACCATATTGTGAGATGTACCCCATACCAGCGGAACCACCAGGTAGCGCGCCGAGAGTTGTCCATTTCCAACCTATACACACTCCGTAACTATATACTAAGGTGACGTGTGCCGATAACTCCATTAGGTGCTGTATCAACATCTTCTTCAGATATATATATTTTTTAAAGTAAAAATCTAGCCACCAGTTAACCATACGAATCATGCAAAACCATGGCTAGGCTGAAGAATAAGCGAGTTCGTTCGTTCTAACTTTCGCTTAATTTCGAGCATCCAGGATAACGAAGAAAATCACATTTTCTGGATTTTTGAAAGGATTTAAGAAGCTGCGAAGAGAGTTTAGCGACGCGCCAAGATGATGACGAACGCTAGCCCGTTCGGCCGGCGGAAGAAGTCGACAGGGCAAATGGATTTTAAAGTCGTGATTACTGGCATAAGAGGCGTGGGCAAAACAGGTATGGATATTGTATATGCTTGGTTTTAGAATTTGTAAGAATTTGTATTTGTGTATATGGTCTGCAAAGTTTTAACTTTATGACTATGTATGCCCTGCTGCCTCTTTAATAGTCAATTAGAATGTGTTCTTCACTTCTAGACTTTTTGCTTCCTCCTCTGGCATTTTTCTGTTATCCATTTTATTTTGTGTAACCACAGGTGAAATGGCTTATATTAGTCGTTTTGCATTATCCAAGGATTTATAAGAAGTATAGAAATCTGGAGCAGAAGGCCTTAATTGTAAATGCGCTGATGAGTTCGTTAATTAGTAATGACACCGTTAATAATAACTTCTGATTTTTCTAATTAAGGATGCTTCAAAGGGAGAGGGGCGGGTAGAGAGAGAGAGAGAGAGAGAGAGAGAGAGATAAAGAGACATAATATTGCAAACGAGGCGCCATTTCCATTTTTATTTGCGTTATCTACCTATGCGGCTTCTCGAGCAGGCCCGTAACTTGGACTGAAGTGTGTGTGTGTGTGTGGGGGGGGGGGGGTGCAGACAATATAAAGGATGGGACCTTTCGAGGGCGCCCTGGCGGGGGAGGGTCTGGGAGGTGGGGGTCTTGCCTCCTTGGGTAGAAAAAATGTTGGCATCTTTCTGACTGAAAATCAAGTTTTAGGTACAATTTTGTTGTTGTGCTCGAGTCTCTGAAGGAAAGATAAGCCCATGTTTGCAAAATTTTAAACTTTGACGTGAATTTGAACAATGTCACTCTCACAAGTCATGGTGAGCCAAAGACCAGTCCGTCACTATAACACACTTCTACGTCACACGACTGACGTAACTATCATGTGCGACCGTATTATTAACTAAATCCCTAATTAATTAAAAGTTGATGTGCACATCAGTGTCTGGAGTCTCAAATATTCGTATTGATCTCAGCCAATATTTACTCTCGTCTTCGCCTTCATTATTTAGGCCGCCATCCTAGTCAAGCATCACTAATATTGCGGTCTCCTCCACTTTTTCCACAAAATCTCGGATAATACTTGGAATTTATTATAATATGTTATAGAAATATTAATTCATTATTATAATGTATACATGTAAATAACATTTTGACATGAAATTGTTATTGTTCGTTTGGTTTGTATTGCATCTTACGTTGACATGTTCTTTGTTATTCAGTTATTTTTTTTAGAAAATGCAGAAATAAAATAACATCTAAAATTTGTTTCTTTCTTTTATTTTGGGGGGAATTAGTCCTCATAATCCAGTATAAATCTTATCTATTTATTTATTTATTACGTTTTATTTCAGTAGGATAGTTCCATTCGAGCCCAAAAAATAAATTGAATGCCTGCTTTCCAAGGAAGCCCTACTTTATATTCATCCTAATTCAGATGATTAAACGCTAACAAGACTTTGTCTGGTATCCAGTCTACTTCGATCTTGCTTGCGTGATACTTGTATCCCTTCAATCGTCAGCGGCTCTTTAGTCCTCCTCAATGGTTTCATCATCTGGCATCCCAATATCTCAATCCCTAGCAACCCTTCATAGCAACGCACCTCATCTCTCTAACACCCCTTGAGAGATGCATCTTGAAAGCAATACAAGAATGGTCTGCAGACTCCGATTATACTTGTGGGTGCCCTTTCACGCGCAACTGTTGCTTCGTTTAATAACCCATTCCCCGCACATTCGGTAAAAAATTATATTCCCATGTGCATGATAGAGACAAGCGCGCCTCACAGCCCATTCTATTTCGATAAATCTTGGTATCCGATGGATTTTCTCTTTTGTCTTGGGGAGGGGGCGTCATTCCGAAAGACAAGCGCGCCTCACAGCTCATTCTATTTCGATAAATCTTGGTATCCGATGGATTTTCTCTTTTGTCTTGGGGAGGGAGCGTCACACCCAGTTATAATGCCATTCCCCCTCCTAACTTGGTCCTTAAATTTAGAGGAGTGGAAACCACTTTTTGAGTCTGAAAATTATTAGGGGTCACTTCGTGTGGGATGGAAATGTATGCTTGAAAATAGTGAAATCCACTCTCAAAAGAGCTATTTAACTCCGATCCTAGAGAGGATTCCATTCTAAATTGGAGTGTATTCGACTCCGAAGGAAGTGACTTCTGTGACTCCTAAACCTCTATCAAATATGAAGCGGTAAACCGCGGTGTGTGTATGGTTTTTTTTCCCTCCATGACGTAACATGCAAAACGCTTCACATTTCTGTTATCATATAACGTAAATCTAAATGAATACCGAATCACATTCATGGCGCACATACTGCTATATATTATTTCATCAATCTTGTTTATTTTTGTCATGTTCGATATCATTTTTGTTTTGGCGCATTGCATACATTTATTGTCATTGTTATTATCATTGTCGTTGTCATTCCCGTACACAATTTGTTTTATCATTACTTTTGTTTTGCAGCGGTGTTAACCGCTTCATTCATTCCGTGCACTGTTCTGCATTAGAAGGGTACCTCTCCCCAACCCCTCACCCTCTCCTCTTGACCCATCATAACACCCCGCCCCCCCCCCCCGCCCCACTCCGAGAACGGACGGACCCCATGCGTGTTGCCAAAATGTCCTTTTCGTAACAAAAGAAAAAGGTCGACCCTTATAAGCCAGTTCACGGTTGCAGTCTGAGCATGAGCAGATAAAGGTCATTGCAGAACAAATTTTGAAATACACTGAGACGTTATACTGGATGCGTGCTCATGAAAGTTATGTGATCATTATTCATTCATGCACATTCAATGAACTCCATGATACACAGGTGGAAGTATTCTTTGAAAAGGGGAAACAAA